TCCATGCATCGTTCCTAAATTCAAATACCTAAAATTTAGGGATTTACACCATTCATTGGCCCAAAACAAGCATTTGAGGATACTAATTTTGTTAAAATAAAACCCTCAATGAGTCCAAATCGTGGACTCATCAACACCCCCAACTTAAACTTTTGCTTGTCCTCAAGAAAAACTTCAAGTTCAACAGTTCAAAAAGGGATGCCTCAAACAGTGTGCTAAACAAGACTCAATCATGAATGCACACAACAAGACTCAACTTACTCATGCACGGATCAATTGTGCACCCACAGATTCAAGTTGTGACTCACCACTATCAAAGATTCTCAAGTTCGCAATACTTGATTCAAATGCAAGTTCAAGCTCAACACAGGTACTCAACTATCTTCACACAAAGAATGATTCCATATTCACACACAATGGCTCAATAACTTAAAGTTCCGGAATTAAATTCAAAACTCACACTCACAAAGATAAACACAATGTATGATTTCACCCATAGGTTTGCCCGTATTTTCCAACAAACGTTTGTTTCAGCTCACTCAAGATCAAAAGGTCTTTTCAAGACTTGTAACAGGGCTGAGTGTAAAGGTATGGTCATTTAGGCTCAATGGCTATAATCCTCATGAGATGTGGTGTTAACAAAACGTCCTTTCCTTTTCTTCATCATTTTTCATTCGTTCTCACAAGTCATCCCATTATTCACTTTCCATGGATTGTTGTAAACCCCATTTCTTTTTGTATTTTAACAACTTTATTCCACAAATTTTTCATTCTTTTTCTTCTTCCTTATTTTCATCTTTTTCTCTTTTTTTTTATATGGAATTATATGGAGGGGTTCCATTTTTCTCAAAACAAGGGTAAAAGGGGACTTTCTTGAACGTCTCTTGATTTACCTTCTCTTTTCATCACACCCCCAACTTAGGCTTTTGGCCTAAGTTGTCTACTCAAACAAACCACAAATCATGAGGATTATGGGTAATGGATCAATAAAAGGTCACAATGTTATCAAGTTTTTTTTCCAAGAAAAGGTTAAGGCTCAAAAGGGTGCTAAAAAAAAGGTTCACATACTCACAAGGTAGGCCACAAAAGAGGTATAATGTCAAATTGGTTCACACTCTTCAAAGTTGCCTAAGATTGCATCACTTAGTCAGCCGGACCAACGGGGTAAATTCTAGGTGTCATTACACATGGTTCACGGTAAGCTCATTACACACAAGGCATTGACACCATAGTTAAATAAGACTCCACACTTTCGCTAGTTATGCAATGTTCATCACAAAAGACTCAATTCGATACTTGGCTAGTCACCTCGAGATGCAAAGAGTTCACATATTGTCTATGCAACTTCATTTGGCCTTATCGTAGCTGCACATTCATTTTTGTTCGATTATGAGCACTATTTAAGTCATCGGTATTGATCAAAACTGATACTCAAATTTGCGAGAGAATAGCCATATACACAAACAGGGGAGGTGGCATAAAGAGGAAGAGGTTCGCTCAGTTCACTGACCAATTTCCACCCACCACCAAAAGCATCCAACATTGTCCTCAATGTGGGTAGAGTATGGGCATTACCGCAAATAAAACAAAATAGGAATAATAAATAAAGACTAACAAGAAATGAAAACAATCTAGTATGTAAACAAGTAGAGCAGGGTAGCGAGGAATCTTCATTAAATGCCCAGTTGGCGACGGAGTGAAATGGTTGCCGAATGCTTTGGCGATGCATCTAATGTTCTTCAGATCGCCCTTAGTTCCAGTGGACTGCACTCCCAGAGAATGCAAATCGGTGAAGATGTAGGGGGTCGCCAAACACATCGGCGATCCGCATAATGAAGTCAGAACGTCGTCGGTCGATCCTTGAGGGACTTTATTAGCGTTGACTCAAAAGGGTGAGGAAAGTTGGGTCGCCTTAGCGCATCGGCGATATGCCAACTGGTGAAGTTGTCCCGCCAAATGTTCTAGAGTCTAAGCCTCATTTTTTAGATCCATAAGGCGAACCAAATCGAGCTTGCTGAACTAGTTCGGCGACTCGCCAAGAGCATCTTTGTCTCACTCATGATCCTGATCTTGCAAAATCAACACACATTATTTAAAACACTAGCACTTGGGTTGCCTCCCAAGAAAAGCCTTATTTAACGACGTGGCACGACGTGGAAATGCTCTCAAGCATCTTCCAAGTACACCACCTCAATCAAAGAAATCTCCTGGCATTCTCCAAAGTATAATTTGAAACGTTTCCCATTCACCTTAAATGAAGGTCATTCTTGACCCTTAACGTCTATGGCACCATTTGTGAATACTCGTGTCACTCTAAATGGTCCGGACCATTTGGACTTAAGTTTTATGGGAAAAGGTCTAAGTCGGGAGTTGTATAACACACCCAATCTTCCACAATAAACTCTCGCTTAAGTATTTTAGCATCATAACACTTCTTCATCTTTTCCTTGTAGAGAGCAGAGCTTTCATAAGCTTTGAACATGAATTTGTCCAACTCGTTTAACTATTCTACTCTCTCTTTTGAGGTCTTTGTGCAGTCTAGATTCATAGCTTTCAGTGCCCGCATCGCTTTGTGTTCTAATTCGACTGGTAAATGGCAAGACTTTCCAAAAACTACTTGATACAGAGACATACCTATTGGAGATTTGTATGCAGTGCGATATGCCCATAGTGCGTCATCAAGCTTTCGAGACCAATCAATCATGTTAGCATTCACCATCTTAGCCAAGATACTTTTGATCTCCCGGTTTGATACTTTAACTTGACCGCTTGTTTGGGGATGATATGGAGTTGCTACCTTGTGTTTCACTCCATACTTACTCAATGCAGCTGAAAAACATTTATTGCAAAAGTGTAATCCGCCATCACTAATGATAGCTCGAGGAGTACCAAATCTAGCAAAGATGTAGCGTTTCAGAAATTGTACCACAATTTTCCCTACATTATTTGGAAGTGCAACAGCCTCCACCCATCTAGAAACATAATCTACTGCCACTAAGATATACTTATTACCAAATGAACTCACAAATGGGCCCATGAATTATATTCCCTAAACATCAAATAGTTCAACTTCTAAAATGGGAGTAAGGGGTAATTTGTGTCTTATAGACACTCCACCTTGCATCTGACATTGAGCTCATCTCTTCACAAATTCATGCGCATCCTTGTAGAGGGATGGCCAGTAATAGCCTCTTTGGAGAACTTTAGCGGTTGTACGCACACCGCTATGATGGCCCCCAACCGGGGAAGCATGGTAAGCATGGAGAATTTCTACCACTTCTTCTTCCGGGACACATCTTCTAATGATATGGTCTGCACACTCTCGAACAAGTATGGGTCATCCCAAAAATAATTTTTAATGTCGAACATGAACCTCTTTTGTTGGTAGAAGTTAAGCTCGTCCGGCAATAATCTGTACACTATGTAATTGCCAAAATCTGCATACCATGGAATTTGTTTGAGAGTTATTGCAAACACTTGTTCATCGGGGAAAGAATCATCTATGTCAACCTCGAGTTCATCATCCTCCCTGCCCTCTAATCGTGATAAGTGGTCAGCCACTTGATTTTCGCAACCTCTTCTATATTTGACCTCAAAGCAACTCTTGCAATAGTAGTACCCACCTTATCAACCTTGGTTTGGTATCCTTCTTTGCCATTAGGTAACGGAGTGCATCATGATCAGTGTGAACAATTACTTTAGTGCCTAACAAGTATGCTCGAAATTTCTCAAATGCATAGACTACCGCAAGCAACTCTTGTTCAGTAACAGTATAGTTACGTTGAACACTATTTAGAGTCTTACTCGCGTAGTAAATTGGGTGAAATAGTTTGTTGCGTTTTTACCCCAGCACAACACCCAACGTTGTTCCACTTGCATCACACATTACTTCGAAAGATTCTGACCAATCAGGACTAATAATGACTGGGGTGGATACTAATTTCTCCTTCAAGCACCGGAAAGCCACCATACAAGTATCATCAAATTGGAATTTCACCTCTTTCTCTAAGAGTTTGCATAGAGGATGTGCAATCCTTGAGAAGTCTTTGATGAACCTTCGATAGAAATCGGCATGCCCCAAGAAACTACGAACACCCTTCACTGAAATTGGTGAAGTAGTTTCTCAATCACTTCAATCTTCACCTTATTGACCTCTAATCCCTTTTGTGACACCTTGTGCCCGAGAACTATGCCCTCCTTCACCATGAAATGGCATTTTCCCCAATTCAGGACCAAGTTTGTCTCCACACATCTATGGAGCACTTGCCCCAAATGTGCCAGCACTCTTCAAACGTGTCCCCTACGATTGAGAAGTCATCCATGAATACTTCCATCGAATCCTCCACCATGTCCACGAAAATGGATAACATGCAATGTTGAAATGTTGTCGGGGCATTACATAGCGCAAATGGCATTCTCTTAAATGCAAACATTCCATAAGAATAGGTGAAAGTGGTTTTGTCTTGATCTTCAAGCGCAATGGAAATTTGGTTGTAACCGGAGTATCCATCCAAAAAGCAATACCAACCTCTCTTTGATAGTCGATCAAACATTTGATCCATGAAAGGCATGGGGAAGTGATTCCACGAATTCAATTTTCGGTAATCCATGCATACTCTCCATCCGGTCACCGATCTTGTAGGCACAAGCTCCCCCTTGTCATTTGGGACTACCATGATACCTCCCATTTTTGGTACACATTGCATCGGACTTACCCATTTGCTATTCGCAATAGGATAGATCACATTTGCATCCAACCACTTTATAATCACCTTTTTTCACCACGTCCTGCATTGGTGGGTTCAATCTTCGCTGATGTTCAACACTGGGCTTACAATCATTATCAAGCTAAATTTTGTGTGTACAAATACCGGGGGGAATGCCCATTATGTCAGCTATGGTCCAACCTATAGCTTTAATATGCCTTCGTAACACCTCAAGAAGTAATTTCATCTGTCATTCAAGCAAATCAGTCGCAATGATTACTGGTAGGGTGTTATTTACCCCCAAGAAAGCATATCGGAGATAGGGGGAAGTGCTTTTAATTCCAGATTTGGCGGGTCTTCTGTTGATGGCTTTGCGGGAGGACTCTCTCTATTTTTCAAATCAATGTCCAATTTCAATGGAGTCTTTGAATACCCTCCCAAGCCTGACAGAGAAGCTACTACTTCTTCGTAACCTTGAATTTCAAAATCATCATAGTTAGCAAGCACGGTTTCAAGAGGTTCGCTCATGCACATCAAATGGCTTACACTAGCCACCGCGTCATCAATAACATCAATGGTGGACACCACATATATATCACTTGGGTGTTTCATTAATTTACAAACGTTGAGGGTTACTTCATCTTCGTTCATTCGAAACTTCAAATTTCCACTTTCAACATCCACAATGCTCTTCCGGTTGCTAAGAATGGTCTTCCCAAAATAATGGGAATTTCAACATCTATTTCACAATCAAGAATGACAAAATCGGCCGGGAAAATGAACTAATCAACCTTCACCAAGATGTCGTAAAGTATCCTTACAGTATGTTTGATAGAACGGTCAGCCATTGGGAGTCTCATTGTGGTTGCTTTTGGTTCACCTAACCCAAGTTGCTTGTATATCGCGTAGGGCATTAAGTTGATGCTTGCCCCTAAATCGCATAAAGCTTTAGCAAATTGAAGCATGCCAATGGTGAAAGGGATGGTGAATGCCCCGGGATATTCTCTCTTTTTGATCAGCTCCTTAGTCATAATTGCACTGCAACTATGGGAAACTTCAATTGTCTCAAAATCCAAGCTCCTTTTCTTTGTGACTAGCTCTTTCATGAACTTGGCATATCCTGGCATTTCCAACAATGCCTCCACAAGGGGGAGGTTGATTGATAGTGTCTTGAACACCAACAAGAACTTCTTGAACTACTCATCTTCATTCTTCTTCTTTAAGCGTTGGGGAAATGGTGGAGGTATTTTGGGTAAAGGTTGCATGACTTTCGGAATTTGAATGTGTTGTTCCACTTCCTTTGGTGGTTCTTTAGCAAGGTTTTGATGGATAAGTAACTCTTGTTCCTCCATTCCTTTACCTTCTTCACGCTTTTGAGCATCTTCATTTTCCATCACATTACCTATTGCCACCTTTCTGCTACGAGTAACCACAACCAGCACTCTATTGTCATATTTCATCGTTATCTTAGGTTTCAATTGAGCTAATAATAAACTCAGTTGTCCTTCAAGTATCTTGATGGCATGGGCATGAGAGTTTAGTTTACTATTCAATGATGAAAAGTCATCTTTCATGCCTTTCAACAAATCATCCGAACCTTCAACTTTATTAAGTATGCGTGACAGCAAGTCATTCACCCGGGGACTACTTGCACTCCCTTTTGATTTTGGGCTCTCACTCGAGTGAGTATGGTTCTCCTCATGATCATCTTCCCTTCTCCAATAATCATTTTGCTCAGCCCAATCTTGATAGTATCTCATTTGTTCTTCTCCCTTATGATAATTCCAACCTTGATTTCTGCCTCGCTATAGATAAAGTTAGTGGAAACCCTCCTCATATCTCTTGGAGTTCCAACTTTGATTCTCCCTCGGACTTGAGTAGCAGGAAGAAGAACCCTCCTCAACTCTAAACACTCCACATGTCCCCTTCATTTGCTCTTGTAGAAATTCCATTTGGGTCAACATCTTCTTGATGTTTTCATCCTTCTCTTTCTCTTTATCAAGTTGCTCTTACGTTAATCTAAAACAAAATGGATAGACTTGATCCTCTTTGGTGTACCACGCTTGGTTTATTCTAGTCATGTCATCAAGAAGAAACGAAGCTACCTCAAATGATTGTAACATTATTCCTCCTCGTACCAATTGATCAACCACTCATTTATTAACCGAATTGAGACTCCGGTAGAAATATTGAAGTAACAAATCGTTTGGTAGCCCATGAGTTGGGCATTTAAGTAGGAGATTCTTGAATCTCACCCACGTTTCGTGGATGGGTTCCCCCTCCCGTCGCTTGAAACTTTGAATTTCGTCTCTAAGTTTCATCATCCTTGATGGAGGAAAGAATCTTGTGTTAAATGATATAACCAGCTCCTCCCATGATGTGATGGAATAGTTGGTAACTCGGCTAACCACTTATTAGCTTATCCCGTTAAGGATAGTGGAAATAACCGCAGTCGAATTGACTCTTGTGACACATTTTTGAATGAAAAAGGGCAACAAACCCCTGTAAAGTTTCTCACATGCTCATGTGGGTCTTTGTGATCTAGCCCTCCATATAGTTCCCTCATTTGGAGAAGATGAAGAGTTGTGCTAGTGACTTCAAACATCGCATTCTCATCAATTTGTGGGATGCAAATTGCACCCATTCCACCCGATTAAGCGGGGTTGTAGACACTATTGATGTCGTCTATACCATCTCGATGACCTGTTTGGCTGTCATTCATCTCTTCCTCACTCATGTTCACTTCTACGTAGTCCAACCAACACTTACAGAAAGCATCCAAAACTAATTCAACTACAGCCAACGAATTTGAGAGTGTCAAAGCTTCAATCAAAGAATTCTAAGTAATGCTACTCCCCGGCAGCGGCGCCATTTTGATTTACGTATCAAGGCATTTCATCCAATATTAAATGCCAACGATCGTTCGTCAGTATAATAACCCAACTACGTGACTGGTAGATCCCACAGGGAGTAGTACTTCCTTCAAATTCAATAATAAGAGTACAATGACAACCTCTTCAATCAAACAATTCTTGCACAATTAATGTTCAAATCTCAAATTTCGGGTTTTGACTAACAATCCAAATTTACACTTCAACACAAGCAATCAAATATTATAGTAAAGCTTGGGAATTGATCAGCCAATTATTGAATCTCAACGAAGTGGATAAACGTTACTGCTCAAAATGGGATAATTTGTTGTGGGTAGGTCGAACCATATATAAAGTAACTTTCTCTCGAACAATTACATTTTCTATGTTGAATTCTCTCGAACTTCAACAACAATCAAAAGAGGCCCAGCTCTTTAACCTCATCAAATCCACTCTCTCGAGCTGGATACAAAGGTTGGATCACTTGTTTTCACTCTCTCGAGCTGAAACCAAGAAAACCCACTACTAAGGACGCTAAGATTGTCACCTTAGTTCTACAAGATGTAAGACGACTGCAGTCAGGCTTAGAAGGTATTGGATCATCACGTCAAGTCGAGGAACTTGACGGTATTCAGATTGATGTCATGTCGGCTCAAATTGCACAATTTACATCGGCACTGGCAGAGTCGGAGCGGAGAAGAGTAGCTGAACAGCAAATCATGAGTGAGACCGTTCAGCAAATCAAAGAACAAGTGATGAACCTCGCTAGTCGACCTACTACTTCGGCTCCTGGATACCGATGACGACAGTGATGAGGATGATTATGTAGATCCCACTCCCTAGTTTAGATCTCTGGACATTTATGACCTATTTGAAATTTTGAAATGAATTTTGAAAGACTTTATAAGTCTTCATATTGTGATTTAGATACTTTTGAATGTTATTTTAAGTTTGTTGTTTATGTTGTGTAGATTGATTATAATTGTGTGTGTTTGATTGGGTTGAATAGTGTAAAAATGAATTGAATTGCATTTGCAGGTGGTCAGCAGAAATTGGCAGCTTCTGCTGTCAAAAAAATTGCAGAAAAAGCGACAGACAGCGTGGTTTTGTCCTTCGCTTTTCTGGATTTTCCAAAGAAATAATTTCCAGAAAAGCGACGGACAGGCTGGGATTTTCAAAAATAAAATTTCCAGAAAAGCGACGGACTGCGTCGCCTTTTGAAAATTAAAATAAAGCGACGGAGTCCGTCACTTTTGTTAAAAAATTTCTAAAAAAAAATTAGTTAAAAAGCGACGCAGTCCGTCGCTTTTGAAAAGCATTGAGCTAAAAAGCAACGGAAGTGACTGCATCGCTTTTCCATCGATTTTGACCAAAAAAGCGACGCAGTCCGTCGTTTTTTGGCAATTTTTTAGTAGTGACAATTAAAACTCAATTGTTCAAGTTGGTAGTAAAAGTTTTTTAAAAAACAAAAACCACTATACACATATTACTAAAAACGTAACGTTAAATTTTGTTACAAATTCATCAAGATAATTTTTTATTCATTCAATAAATAATTTTAAATATACGATTTCATCTAGAATGTGACATCATTTGAATTATAAAAGTAAACCACTAAAATGATAGAAATATTTTAATCAAAATTAAATGAAACCGTGCATCACGTGGGCACTATACTAGTATATATCTAAAACAAAGAATTGATCAAACTAAATATTTGGCATACACTCTAACCTCTATTCAACCACCATTCTTTATAACAATATGTTTTTATCTCTATAACATTCTACTTATAACTGTGTTGACATTCACTATAAAAGTACATTCTTTTGTAAAATTACCTCTTTATGATAGTCTTACTCAAATATCAATTGAGTAACAATATTTTGTAAAAAGTATATATTACTAATAAAGATAAATATTTAAATATTTATGGTAATCGTTATCAGTGTCATGCATACTAAATTTCAAGTATGAATATTTAAGAGAAAAATTATACTTAGATGGTATCCATCATTATTTATGGCCATAACCTTAAAAGGAAAGGCTATTGGTGACATTTTCTATATTGATTTTTTTTTCCTATTTTGTTAGTTAAATTTGTTTAAAAATTGAGTGAAGTAAAAAATAACATTGTTAAAGAAATGTCACCTTCTCCGCATATTTAAACTTGAATGCATTTTGAAATGTTTCAATGATATCTGGTCATTTTGATCTCAAAAAAATAAGTAACTCTATGACAATTTGTATTAATCATTTAAAAGCATTCTTTCTGTGTTCTTTCAATTATAATTATTTACTAAAAACTTTAATTTAGTAATATTAATTTCATTTTACAATATCATATACTATATGATACAATACACATGTGCAACGCACGTGCCGTGAAACTAGTAAGATTCAATGAGTGAGAGATTGTTAGAATGACAATATAATTTTAATAAAATGATAATGTCTCTTAATGGTCCATTATGCTTGTTAGTGTTTCATTTGTCATCCTAAATTACTCATAATGCTTTATTATGTTTATTATTGTTGTATTTTTCATTCAAATTACTCATAATTCTCCATTATGATTATTGTTTGAGATAAAGAAGCTAATGATATGAAACAAGTTGAACAACATGTACAATTGCTAATTGTTATAGAGTTAGAGTCACACTAGGACTTGGCTACTACATACTAATTAGTTGTCGGTTAGGGTGTTGTGTCTTATACTAGCTGAAGTTGACTAGGATAAGTTTTTATAATTTTAGTAGTAGTAGTAGTAGTAGTAATCCTATACTAATGTAAATTATATATTTGTATTGTAGTAGGACTCTAAGTATAACTAGCTTAGAACTCACCTCCTATATAAAGAACATGTACTTGACAATATAATCATTAATACGGTAAATAATTCATCACCAACTTAATTATTTACTTAAGACAAGTCAAGAAAAATCTTGTCACGATCCGATTTCTCAAGTCATGATGGCACCTACTATACACCACCAGTAGGTAAGCCTAACCCTTACTCCGGATCCATAAGTGGCACGATCAAAAACTGGACGTGATGACACTTATCTTATCTCACCACAAAAAGTCAGCCTAAAATCCAATTAATACGATAAATATGAAAGTAGAACGAGAATAAAAGTGTAATCCTGTAAAATAATGCAGAAATTCATAATCAACGTAAATATACCCCCAAAATATGGTTGTCACATGTACAAGCCTCTAGAGTATTACAATTGATTCAAAAAAAATTACAAGTC